AAAAAAAAAAAAAAAAAAAAAAAAAAAAAAAAAAAAAAAAAAAAAAAAAAAAAAAAAAGATAAACACTCGTGTTGTTGTGTGGAATTGGACAATTAAGCTCCTAGCTGCCAATTTTCACATTATTTATCTGTCTGATTGGAAGGCACTTTAAATACAATCTGCGATTTACACACATCGCCGATCTCATGATCCAAAACTAAAAAAATACAAGGTAGAAAGAATAGAGAAACAAAAGTGATTGTATCAAGTTTGATAGTAAAAAATAAAAATAACAACAATAGAGTGCACTGTGCAAAATGTCAAGACATAAGTACAACAGGATAAAATAAGTGAAAGCCAGCTGGAGCACTGTCACTCACATGGAACCGCCACCTGCGTGAAGAGCTCGGCGCAGGGGTCGCGGTGACGTACTGTCGCGACGGCTGAGCGTCGGCGAGCCGATCAACCCACTGCCGTACTGATTCCTAGCGAGTACCAACCCCCTAGGATCATGCAATTCAAGTTTTTATGCACCATTACTTTTTTCCATTTATAACTACGTTTTGTCTCACATATGTATCAGACCACCCACCACTCGGCTACCGGGAGTCCGTGTTTTTCAATCTTTGGCTTAGAAATTGAAAAAAAAAAAAAAAAAAAAAAATTAATAATAATAATCACCCTCTTGCTGACTAATGCCTATCGAACAAATCATAGACAGTACATAAGCGACGGTGAAAATCTGAAAATCGTTGGAAAAAAAATTGTAAGCCAGCAAGGACAGTATTACAGTGCAATCAAGTGTTGCAATGGAATTTTGATTTTTGCACGTTTGATTTGATGATTTCGTGACAAACTCTTTGCATTTGAATGAAATGAATGACAAGCATGTGAAATATAGATAATTTTAAGCCTTGCACAAAGATTTGAACACAGATCCAAAAAGCCCAGTCGTGCCATAGTCCAAGTGAAGTATAATTATAAAATAAAAGAAAAATAACAAACTTTAGGCTGCCTGGTGCGCTGGGAACCCTCGTCAGTGAATGGTTGTGATTTTGGTGCTGGTTTTGATTTTGATCCTCGTTCTTTTGATTCTCGGAGTTTGTTGATATGCCGTAGAGCAGCTCCTGGGGCTGCGTGGTCCGCCGTCGAACCTTAATACTTCGTGGCTTATCATCTCCACCCAAGCTCTGCGTTAGGCTCGTCGTTAGGCTTTGCGTGAGACTTTCGCTACTACAAGGTGACATTGCGAAAAACAAAAAATAAAAGAGTTATTAGTCGTAAAATATTATTTCTACCACCTCAATCGACACAACACCGTTTCTACACGCTTACTTGTCAGGAGATGAACTACGCGAACTCGGTGGACTGTAGGCCGCTATCGAATTATTGGTATTATTGCTATTGGTGAGGGACAATAGATCCCTGTCGCGCAACACGTGTTCAAGTAGCTGGTGCTGCACGTCGCTTTCTTGGGCGACTTGTTTCAGTCGGCTCTCCATATCGCGAGCCTCGAGTTGTTTCTGGGCCGCTATGTAACTCTGCTCGATCGTAAAGTCTAGCATTCGTTGCATCATGTACTGAGCCTCTTCTACCGATCTAATCGTACCCAAAAGGGCCTCAGCACCCGTCTCGCTCTCGTTCTCGGCCTCGGCGTCTCCCATCTCCACCATCGCTCTTTGGCACTCGGAGATACTGTCCTGCAGGTAGCTAATTTTGCTGGTGACATTATCGATCTCTTCGTCGAGATCGCTTGTGTCACCCTTCGCCGAGCCGACGGCTGCCCTGTGCTTCTTTAGCCTCTCCAGGTCTCTTCCCAGCTCTTCCCTCTCCTGGAGCAGTCGTTCCATTTCACGCTCGGTCTCGGTGGCTGCCTGCTTGGCCAGTGCCTGCTTCGTGATTGTCCGCTCGAAAGTCTGCCAGCGCTGCTTTAGAGCCTTCGGATTGACGACTTTTGAGACTGCAGTCCTGCCCGCAACCTTCAAACTAAGCCCGCGGTCTCGTTTTCTGAGCGCAGTGACTTCCTCCTGCTTCCGTCGCAGCACCACCTCCTTCATTCGCTTGTCCGCCTCGAGGGTCCGAATCATATTTGCGTTCTTACGGCTCTCCTTGCGCAACTGGGCAATCTCTCGGTTGCGTTTGAGCTCGTTCTCCTTGTGGCGTTGGGCCTCCTCGCGCATTTTGTTCAGCAACTTGACCTTGGCCCGCTTCATCTCGGCCAGCTCGTTTCGTAGACCCCGTAGTCTGTTCTCGTTCTGGGTCTGGCTCTTGAGCAGCCTCGCGTGCTCCTTCTTCGCTGATTGCAGCATTTTGACCTCCTTCTGCATGGCCGAGAGCTTCTTCTCGTACTCGTCGCGTAGCTTCTTGGCCTTCTCCGTGGGAGCGGACGGCTGATTCTGTAGCGAGGACAGCACCTTGTCCCTCTCCTCCTGCGTGTCCCGAATGCGGAGCTGCAGCTGGGCCAGTTTGTCCTCGTAGTGCTGCTTCATGGTCTGAAGTCGCCTCTGCGATAGCTCGAGTTCCTGAATGAGCCTCTGTTTCACGTCGATGTTGGACGTGAGATTCTCTAGCTCGCGATTCATTGCCTCCTCCTCTTCGTCCTCTTCTACAATTTATTTTACCGTCAACGTGAATCAAATTGAGAAAACTTTTTTTTTTTTTTTTTTTTTTTTTTTTTTTTTTGTTGAAACCGCAAACCCACCTTTGCGATCCGAGTCATCGTCGGACTCGTCCTCGCTCATCGACTCCTGGCCGTTCTCGGCATCCTCCATATCCGCATCCTCGGTGTCTTTGCCGGTCATGTTGGAATTTTGCGCTTGCTGATTTTTAAGGCTGGCCAGAAGAGCTTTTTCCTTTTGCAACTCCTTCTTGGCATCCAATAGTAGCGAGGAAGAGTCGTTATTATGCGACACATCTGTGGCGTATGGGTTGCTTGCTGCGTTCATCTGATCAAGGTACGTAAAAGTATCGTAAAAAATCGAGGAGAATCGTGGGAGTATAGAAATACTGAATGCAACGTGCTGAATTCTACTATTCGCAAAAATGGATCAAATTGTAAGTTATAAGAATAATCTATATTATGCAAGGATTGTGTCATCTAATTTGTGCAAGAATTATAAAAAAGAAAAATAATTGCTACTTTCCACATCTATAGTTTATGAATTGTAAAGGTGAATAAATATAATATATATTTCTACTTTGATAGGTTTCGTCCAGGAAACTGTACCTGTAAATTTTCGGGTTGACTATCTAGTCCAAACGATTGCTGTGTACAACAATAAATTCAAACTTGCCATCAAACTGTTGTAAGAAATTTCAACAGGATTTTCGTACAACGACGTACACGTTGTGCAAAAATCACCGTGACTAACTGATCTAAACGTATTTTTTTTTTTTTTTTTTTTTTTTTTTTCGTAATGACACAACAATTAGTTGCGCAACGGTAAGAAAACAGCGTGAGTATAAACTTACGTGCATCTGTCGCTTTTTGAGCTGTTGGTAGAGCGCCTCAGCCTCGAGCAGCCTCGCTCTGAGCTCCTCGATCTCCTGGAGGTATCCTTGAACGAGGCCGGTAACGTCGCCACCGGCAGCCGCCGCGCCAGACGAGAGCCACTGGCCCGCCGCCTTTTCCGCGAGCAGCAGTGAATTTTTCGCCGTCAAGGCGTCCACCGTCTCCGAGAGCGCCTTCACTCGGGTTCGCAGGCTCTGCAACTCGTGGCTCAGCATCTGGTTCTCGTGCCACGCGTCATTCATGCCATCCTCGCCGACCACGCGCTTGCCTGATATTCATAAAAATTAATTGCTGATCAGAGAGGTGATGATTATTGAAATCTTGAGAGGTAAAAAAGATGGTGCATCGTGTTTTATACACGCGCACGTATCGCGCTGAATCTTTTATTTCGCGCCATATAGTACGTGCACTTGTGAATAATAAAGGCTGTACAATAGAAATAAAAATGCAGAACAAACGAGTGGTAGCAGCAGAGTGCGCCTCTTCAATATTCAATAAAAAAAAAAAAAAAAAAAAGAGGAAATTTGCACACCCACCTTGGCGGTACTCGAGCAACTCGATCTGCAGCTGTTGTATCTCGCGTCTCAGCGAAGCGATGGTCCTCGAGCTCTTGTCCTGGTTGATGGTGACCTTGTTCTTAATGTTGCGGGCTCGATTGGCGTACTTGAGGGTACTGAGGGTCTCCATGAAATCGCGATCGCTCGGCGAAACGCAGGCAATCATGACGGTCTGGCTGTTGCCGCCCAACGAGTCCTGTAGTAGCCTCGTGAGCTTCGAATCGCGGTACGGCACGTGCAACGCCTTTTTCGTCTTGTCACCCAGGGCTGATATCACGTTGCCCAGTGCCAGCTGTCATCACACACATTTCAGACTTTACGCTCATAGTTTTTTTCGAAAAATTGATTGCCACCCAATATAATCCCCCCAACTCATTGAAATTCGAAGCGCGTACAAAAGTATATTTCCTCTATGAATTTTTCATGACTATACGCGTCGGATCCAGTCGCGCGTAGGCGCGGAATATCCGTACAGCTCGAGCTATTCGTTACGCTACGTTGCCACGAGTGTATACTTATTCAATAATTATCCCTCCGCGCGCAAGTTTATCACGATATATTTCTCGAAAGTCCGCGGTTTACCTGCAACGACTCGGAATCATCATACCGAACGATCGGCTCTTTTACTTTATTTACGAAAAAATCGTTCGACATCAAAGGGATCCAAAAATATACTGTACCAATGAAAAATACTTTCGCAGAGTTGTCTTAGCGTCGCGATACATATTACACGAAACAACTAAATCAAATTCAAGAATCACCCCGAACTTAAGATGAATCGATCATCGCGATCTCATATGTATTTCACGCAATTCCCCGCGTGTGAGTTTTCATGCAACACGAGGCGCTGGATCATACAATACGCGAAAGCGCATGAAAATAAACACGCAAAGCAATGTGGGGGAGGGAAAAAAGGAAGCCCAACCAGTCCGCAGTTGATGGATATGCCCTCCTTGGCGCGATCGCCGGTAGCCCCGGTCCTCTTGAGCCTCTCGGAGCCGGCCAGATCGACAAAGTGAAACTTGGCGGTGAGGGTCTCGAACTCGTTGGCGGTCTCCATGGAATTCGAGGTGTCGACGTCCGCGTCCGGATCCTCGACCCTGACGCATCGCTGTTGCTTCACGTACAGGGTGAATATGGCGTGGGAGCGCGACGACTGGGTGTTCATTTGCGTCGAGCCCGTCGTACGGGACAGGGCACCCAGACGCAGGTACTCCAGTGCCTCCTGCGGACCGGTCACCAGCTGCGACTCGACCCCGGCCAGGTGGATATTACCGGCCGTGTCCTCGTGGATTCGAGCACCACCCCTAGGACCGCCCGGCTCCAGGAGATCCTTCAAGTCCTCGTTGTACAGCTCGAGGAACTGCGCCGTCACCTGCCATCATTGTATACATTATATTATATGCACGCGTACTCAATAAAACAATGTTTATTTTTGTTAATGTATCCATCATAATGTGGGAGATGCGACGCAGTGCCGATCGATACATCATCAATTAAACATTTTATTCGTGTAAATTTGAATACCAGGGATTCGTTATGGAATTGAGTGGAAATGCAAGGCATCTTTTGGATGCGAATGAAAATTTAGCGCGGTGGCATTGCGAGGGAGCGAGCGTTATGTCAATAAACACAAACGAGATGACCACGGCCTACTCCGATCAGTTTTATTTGCCAAGTCTTTTTTTTTTTTTTTTTTCCATTTACCAAGTCGATCGAAGCACCACAGCGAACGTGAAACGTAATCGTGTGGGCGTCTGAAACCAAAAAGCATCGCATGGACCACTGCGTTCGCACGATTCTCAGACCCGAGAGTCACACCGAGTTTATCGTTATTATTATTTTTTTATTTATTTTGTTTTTTCGTCAGATAATCTTAGACTGCAACGTACAGTCGTGTAGGAGACAGAGAGTATCGCGTGGCACGCGGCGCGGGTCTAGGATGTCGCCTCTTAGCGCATCTGAAATATGCGACTCGAGTTACCTCTCCCCCCCCCCCCGACGTACAGTATAGGTATATACATGTATATTATATCACCCGCGTGAGTACGTCGCGTTCCATTTCACGTCGAGCGGATCGAGTAATTTTATAGTCTCGCAATTAAGCTCCGCGCGGCTTTTTTGCGTTTCCTTTTCGTGTCTCGAAGGGTCGTTCATTTTATTGGTCATTATTTTTTTCCTCGATACGAGTTCCGTGACACTTGACGGAGTGTTGCGAAAAACGCAAATTAAATGTTTCAAACAGCCACGCGAGAGTTTTTTTTTTTTTCCCATTACCCGTAACTACAAAAGTGTAGCCTATAGACATTGATTCGAGAAGGAAAAAAAAAAGTTACGAAATAATAAGTCGCTATTCGCAAACGGACGGAGATTCCATTAAAAAAGACAAAAGCGCGCTCACAAGTTTAAAATATACAATTTATTGACGAACGCGTGGGCATTTGTTTTTTCTTTCTTCTTCTCGCAAGAAAAGGTATATATAATGTTATATGCGCAATAACGGGGGCAAAGAGAAAAAGAGCGGATTTTCGTTGAAAATAACCGGTCGATTCCCCTTGTTATTCAAACCGATCTTCATCGTGACAAATTGCTTACTCGCGTGACATAATCGAGCCACTTTATAGCTTTGATGTAAAAAAAAAAAAATTGTATGAGGTGTGCAGTAAAGGGTACACGAACCTTAAACTCGGGTGGCATCTGTGCGCGCTCGCGTGCACGAGCCTGTTTGTCGGCGATGCCGTCGAAGAGGTGCTTGATGGCCCGGGGAATGATGCCGACGACGTTGTCGTCGATCTCGACGTCGAAGCCCGTGCCCATGGTGTAGGTCTTCCCGGAGCCGGTTTGCCCGTAGGCGAGTACGGTGGCGTTGTAGCCGTCGAGGGCGCCGTCGACCAGCCGAGCCACGCAGGTCTCGTAGATGCTGCTCTGGTCCGAGCTCGTGTCGAACACGTAGTCGTACGTGAAGGCCTTGTCCGGCCCGAGGAAGACTTGCGGCTCGCCGGCCGGCACTTGGGTGCATATCCGGCACATGTCGATCACCTCGCGAGCCACTTGCGGACGGATCCTTAAACATTTTTTTTTTTTTTTTTTTCCATCACTCTACTTTTTTCAATCCACTTGGCATCTATACATCATCAATACCATTAACACTACATTATTTTAGATATGTCGCATTTGGCGACCAAACTGCACAAAAGACCGTAGGGGCCATTTCAAGCGAACGAAAAAACTTGTGTGTGACATTTGTCACGAATGGCCCTTAGTGTGTACGGTACGATACAATTGACCAAAACGCCCCCTTGATTGCCTATACGGCTCTATATCAACAAAGTTACCTATACATATACTACACACGCGCGACAGGAGAAGGTATTGCAAAATCTTCTTTGCCGAGTTTTGCTTGCACAATTATTTTAAAAAAACGTCACAAAGAAACGGAGAGAGAGAGAGAGAGAGAGAAAATAAACAAGACTTTTCACGCTCATCAGCATACATTGCGCCAGACGCGCAATATGTAACTTTAGCGAGCGTTTTTTTTTTTGTTTTTTTTTTCTATTAAAGACGTCTCCATCAACTCCCGCGCGACACACGTATAAGTATGGCGAGAACAAATTAAACGCCCACGCGGTATCGACAGCTCAAACGAAACCAGCGACCATCACAATGTATACAGGTGTGCTGAGCGAAAAAAAAAAAAAAAAAATCATCGCTCCCCTTCTAGTCCTGTTCGTGCGAGACTCGGGAGGAAGCGTGTAACCCGCGTCCGAAAATAATTAACGAGGATAGGTACGCGGATGTCGCGTTGTCGTTCCGTGAGCCTAGAATCATGAATGAACGTCGACTCCCTCTCTCATTTTTTTCTTCTTTTTTTTTTCTCTTCGCATTAATGCTACACGCGCGCGGGGGACGGTGGAAAAAAAAAAAAGACCGAGAACCGGCTCTCCATCGAGATAGAAGGTGTACACGAGACGTGGGAGTAAGCGCATACCCAAGTATTATATACACCCGTGCACGTGGATTAACATATACGTCTATGTATGTATGTGTGGGCAGGGGAGAGTGCCGGAGCGCGAGAGCACGTGTAAGTGCGCCGAAAAAACAAACGACAAAGACGACGAGCTTTGCAATGAAGTTTTTCACCTAGGCGTGCTTTTTTCCCTCCTTCTCTTGTCTATTGCAAACTCGTCGACGCGCGCGAACAATGTCAAGGGGGGAAGGTGCTGTTTTTTTTTTTTTTTTTATTTTTTTATTTGGCGACAACGTTGGGTTCACGCCGTGCAGTCACTGATGGGTGAAAAAAAAAAAAAAAAAAAAAAAAAAAAAACTACCGCGTTGGCCCGTGTTTTGTATTTTTTACGTGCTCGGACGTGGGTGCATTATTATTATTATCTATCCGAGTGGATTATATACACGATTGCTCCCACCGGTCCTCCAACCGCAGAGTAGCTAATTGATCGTTTACTCCTGGTGCATCGTATAGTGTGATATATATAATAGGCGAGAAAAGGAGGACAGATCATCAGCTCTCGTTCCTCGCGATTTGAGCATCTCCTCGGCCCCGATGCCGCGCTTGTAAACTATCACCACTTGACAGCAGCAGCAGCACCATATTATCCGTTAGCTAGCGCTTGTTCCGAACGCTAGTAGTCTGTAATGTGACTTAATGTTTATAACATTCACTCGCGATCGCAGCAACGATTGCCGCAGCGACAACACCCACCGTTCGCATGAGCTCTGGAGCTTCGACTGAATTATACAGTTTTCTATTGCTCCCTTCTATATACATTCTACAATACTCGCCGCCGACGCCGTTATCCCCTACTCTCTCTTTTGCTTTGCTTATACTATACCACCACCCACCACCTCCGTTTTCCTGCGGAACGGCAGCGCACGCGGCGGAGACATGGCAGACATGTTTCGGGACCTTTTTTTGTGCTGCTTATTCCGTTTTTTACGGAGGCTTCGTATGTGTTCGTATACATATATAGTCGCGTTGCAACGGACGGGAGGGAGAAACTTTTAGCGGGCGGCATCTCGCTTTGTTTATTGTTGTCTGTTAGCTCCATTGTTGGGGTAACAGACAGCGCCGCGCCTGCTCCGCTCGATCGATATATATTTTCGGAGCAACTGTGGAGTTGTAATTTGTTTCTTTATCAAAAGTACTTATATTTACTTATGGTTCCAATTTTGAATGTAAAATTAATTTTTTCGATAAAAATTTTCGTCCGTGAAAGATTTTTTTTTAACGTCTTTTAATTTAAATTTTTCAATTATAAGTGCACTAATTTTATCTGCAACTTTCAAATTAATCGCTCGCGGGATTTTCGATTATTAATTTGATGCAAGAGAGGGTGCGGCGAATGAAAAAAAAAAAAAAAACATGTATATCGGTACTCAATAATAAATAAATGCAAAATTTATTTGCCTTAGATAGATAATTAACAAATTTATTACTAGTTATAAATCGTCAATTTAGTACGAAATCGTTACACTCGATGGAATTTCACATGAAAATGAGAAAATAAAATCAAGTTTTTACAAATACAAGTGCATCATGTTAAAACTAATTACATCCATGGTTTGTCTCAATTTATCGTCTTGCTGCATATTGTCAAACCATCTCGATAAGTGCACATATTCTGCTTTTTCTTGCAAGCTCAGTCTTTGCTGAAATACATACATAGCAAAACAATAAATCGTTTAAGGTTGTTTTATAAAATTTTAATACAAACTGCTTATTGTATGCATGTCTTACCATAATTCCATGTAAAGCGTAGTACAGAGTAACATCTGCAATAGTTTTTTTCGTCCCTGCCACGTAAGTGCTGAATTTTAATACATAATTCAATTCCTAAAAGAAGCATTGGAATATTTTATTTGCAAGCCCACCAATAAGAAACAAGTAGGTACATAATATAGGATTGGAAAAAAAAAACTACCTTCAGGACTCTTTTTTCGTTGTTTGAGTTGTCTGCATAATTGACACAGAGCACGGCGTACTCTAGCATTTGTCTAGTCAACGCTTGTGTTATAGCATCGTCACCCAGTATGGCCGGATATTTAGAATTTTTAACAAGGGTTTGAACAATTGTACTAAATCCTTCGGTGCTTTGATTTTTTATCAAATCATCTGTGGCCACAGTCTAAAATTATGAAAACCACCGATGTTTTAAGTCTTTGAAAAAATTAATATTTGTAGGAAAAAAAAAAATTGTCGCAAATTGAAATTTTTTTCAAATAAGACGTACAGTAAGACTGTTTGGGTGTTAACTATTTCAACGATCACTGTCATTGCTATACGTTATTGTAGAGGTACCAACTTTTCCTTTTAAACACGTTGGTTAGATAAAATTTTACACGCGAGTACTACAAAAATAGTAAACGTGCTCTCGAAAATTGGGAAAGCTTCTCGCCACGGATTCAATATATAACCAAGTGTGAAGAACAAGCCCAAAAAAATGCAACTTTTTGTATTCTATTTTTTTCCAAACTTTCTTTTAGATGCTAAGAAATATTCAAGTTGCAGCAAGAATTCCTTCTTTAAAATAATAAAAAAAAAAAAAACACAAAAAAAAAAATGAGTCTCGTCAGACAGACATCCACCCTACTCGAACATAGCTTGGCTTTAAAAAGACCGTTCCCCATATACACGCCAAGAGAAATGAAAAGTGCAAGCGCCAAGGACACTGGACTTACGTTGTTCTCGGAGACGTAGAGTTTCCCCGGAGAGATGTCCAGGTACTCGCTTATTCTATTCACGCATTCGATGTTGCAGAGGACCATCTTGGGCTCGTAAAGACAACCGAAAAATATAAGTAATTTTTAGTACAAACGGAAAAACGAGACTCCAACAAACGTCGTCGGGCAAGCCACAACTAATTCTTGTACGCTCTGACAAGAAAAGGTTAATGGTGGTCGATGCGGCGAGGGCGACTATATACTTACCTCCTCTCCTTCGCTGATTGGCTGTGCTCCGATACTGCTTGCGATTGAAAACATGAAAATAATAATAAACAGCTGGTTTTTTTTGAGTTAACCGTCTGCTAAGCAGTGTTGCGTGCAGTCTGTTACAACTACCGAAGTAAACATCGCATCGGTTGCTTTTGAAAAAAATTGTATAATTGATACATTAAAATAATTTATGAAAAGCGCTTTAACAAATTTGTTGCGAAATAATTTTTTGTTAGTACTATTGTCTGCCAGTACATATTTATTCAACGTTAATTGGTTTGATTGTGAATAAAAGTAAATAATCTGACATGAGATTAAATTTTTACAATGTTTGATAATTTATAAAAATCAACATTTCGAATCGAGCGCGAAAACCATAAGGATATTTTTCAAAAAATTAAAAAATTATTTCCCCTAATGTATCTTTATTTATTTGAATAGTATATTCCAATTATCTAACGGTACTAAAGACAAAAAGTTCATATTTTTATAGTGGAAATTTATATGTAGGTTAAGCGCATTGAAAACTCTTTTTAAAAACTTGAATAGTAAAATTATTGTTATATTGGCTCGCGACGCGTGTAAAAAATGTTTAAAACTTGGAGAAGACTAGTTCATTCGAGTGCAAGGGCTTGCAACAAATTCGAGTGGATACAGCCAAGTGGATCTGACTCTGGGATCGTTGTTTATAATCCGGTGGCTAGAAAAAAGACTCCATTGATCTTAAGAAACAACAATATTGTCACATGGTACATGTGTGGGCCGACAGTCTATGATTCAGCTCATATTGGACATGCTTGGTAATTTCACTTTTATGAGTAAAATAATTTTTGTTAATTTTTCAGAGATCCCATTGCTTATGCTTAATTTTTTTAGTACATATGTTAGATTTGACACTATCCGCAGAATTCTAACGGAATTTTTTGATATGAATGTTGTACTTGTCATGGGAATGACGGACATTGATGACAAAATTATAATGCGCTCCAATGAAACTGGCATGGACTGGATGAAGCTTACTCATAATTATGAAAAAGAATTTTTCTCTGATATGGATTCTCTTAATGTCCTAAGGCCATACAAGACTTGTAGAGTTACAGATTATATACCAGACATCATTGCTTTTGTAAAAAAAATTGTGGACAAAAATGGAGCATATGTTGGNATAAAAAAAAAAAAAAAAAAAAAAAAAAAAAAAAAATGAAAAATGATCGTCACCTAGTGTGTCACGGGGATATTATTGTTGCTCGATTGATTTTCACGCTTTCGTACAAAATGTTTGGATTGTCATTCCAGTGCTTGTATGGATATTAAATATTCATCGAGTGGAAATTGAGCAGTCACCGCTTTATATACGCACTCAACTATATCTGTTGGTAAAGTACGAAAATAAAACAATTAAATTAACCTTATGACTTATGCATTTGTAATGAAGACATTTTTTACTCTACGCATCATTGGGGTTTTTAAAAGTTATTACGTTTTCAAGTGAAGTCATATTATAACTGATTCAGAGGAAAATAAAGCATCCGGGAGCCTATAAACACCTGTTTTTTGAAAATAAAAGAAACATTTTTTATTCAATAGACTAAATTTTTTTTTTTTTTTTAAGGCTTTTGACGCGTTAGATACATCTAACAACAAATAATAGTCTATTTTTCATGCTCAAACTGAGTTGAGTGACAAAAAAAATGAAAAATACAAATAATTTGTCTCATAGCTACAAACTACTACGGGAGGTTTAGTTCATAATTTTAGAAATTATCAAAAGGAATGACACATTATAAAGTAACACTAGTAAAGAATAATATATGATGTGTTTCTTTTTTATCGGCTGCAAAAGAAAAAACAATCGATGTGCGTACAAATGTGTACAAATCTATATTTACAAAACAGAAAAAAGGAGGAGGAGGAGGACCGTACAAGCGTTAAATTATTACTCGTGATTGACTTATTTGCTTCGCGGCGTACTTTTGGTACAGATTATAATTATTGTACTCGTATGTATTATGTCGGCGCTGTAGCAATATTGAAAGTTTGCTTGGAGATGACAATTGCAAAGGGTTAAGGCTCTCTAACGATGAGTACGGGAAAGCCCCGCCCCAATGCTGTTTGAGCTGCCGGGTAATGCCCAAAGACATTATGTGGCAGGGCAAATTACACCGACTGGTTGTTTTGATGAGGTTTTATTGAGCGTATATACGTGTATACACGCGCAGCGAGACGACGAGCTTTTGTTGACTTTTGTGAAAGTTTATTTTTAGAGATACGTTCGAGTAAGCTCGACGCGTGGGTTGTAGGGATCAAACGTTTTCAAAGTTATCGCGATGGAAATTAGGATTTTTTTTTTCTCTCTCTTGATTGACTTCTGAATTTCAGATTCGGAAACCACCCACTCATGTGAAATCGCTTTGTGACAGTATATATTATGTTACTGTACCGCATCGATCGGGGGACTGCTGGACAGGAAACGTGGGAATAACTATTATGCTGTTCTGTTGAGAAATGAAGTTTCCATACAGCCACAATGTTACCATAAATTCCACGCTAAACTGATTCAATGGAAAGATAACGAGTTTTGATTTGAGCAACAAACCCATGTTTTATTCAACAGTACGACAACGTGGCTATAATTATTATTCATGTTTTCCTGCGTGATCTGTTGAAAAATTTACCAAAGACAGCCATAGGATTACTCAAACCTATAACAAAAGTAAAAATGTACTTGAATCGCGCAATATTTTTATACTTTTATTATTTGTTATAAAGTAATTTACTGTTTTGTTATTTTCACCTTCTATTTTTACCTCTAGGTAAGGATAAATATATCTCTGTTTGAATAATGTAAGGCTAGACGAAACAAGTTGCAAGACAAAAATCGATGGTTCGATAAACGCTGGCTGCAAACACCAAATGAAAACGAAAAGTAAAACGTAATTACTCATCAGGTAGCAAACGCTTATCGATCATCAAATTATTATGCTTCGAATCGACGATTTACTTCTCGATATAAAATTACTTGTAAAAATAATGTTCTCTTTCAATGGAAATGATGGTCAATCAGCCCATGAACGAAATATCGGTACACACGCTTTGCGGCAAAAAAAAAAAAAATGCGCCCAGCAACCGGTGAAATTTATCTTGGGTCGAAACGAGCCACCGAAAATTCTTTGGTCTCTTTCGAAACAATAGCCGACTCGGCGGCTCGAAAAAGAGAAGCCCGGCAGGTACTTGTGTATATAAGCGCCTCGCCTCACCTCCGGCTCACCGCCTCGGGAAGGAAACGTCGTCATAAGTAAGTTGGAAACGAAAGGACTCGAGTGTCACGCGGAAAAAAAAAAAAAAAAAAAACCGAGAGAGAGCTAGTGTGTAAGTAGTGGTCATTCATCGGAAAACAGGAGGTTGTGAGCTCCATACTCGCGGTATAGGCTGCCTGGCTTACAAAACCCACGCGGCTTTCAAAAGCAGATAGGCATTACGCGAATGTAAGATGTATGATAACAATAATAATATACGTGCAAGTATACATTATGCACGTTGATTTAAGGGGGTAAAAAAAAAAAAAAAAAAAAGACGAGGAGTAGTTGGTGTATAGTAGCAATGACGGCATGTCGTACATGCATCCGGAGCGGGGAGACCTTCGCCGTCGCGATTTGTTATACGCATGCATGTGTATGTATATAGTGTAGAGCTCGGGTATATTACGATACATTTATATATGTATAAGAGTATGCACTTTGATGAGCTTGTGTATGTATATAATTATGTTAATGTGTTAGTACACCGTCGTGGTACACCGATTTATCGCGGTGGCGAGGCGCGATGCGGTTGCAAATCGAATTAATAATGTGCTCGCACACACCGTTTATCCCGTATATATACGGTTTGCAGTATGGCTGCTGTGTACACGAGGGTAATAATTGGGAATAATTGTAATTAATAAGATATTACGGAAGTATAACGGCTTTTTTTTTCTCTGTGTGTCTACTGGAAATAAAGTGTGACATCACAGAACACGATTATTTGGCTCGTATCACAAGTCCAACTATTTAATAGGCGTGTCCGAAATGTTTGTGTCACGTTTAAAAGATATTTTGCGAATTCGGTAGGTGCACGATGGGCTGAATCATCCTCTCGCCCGCATCAGTTGGTTTTAGAAATTTTAGAGCGGAGCGGAACGACACAGAAATCCCGACATTTCCGAACGTTCGGAGCATCCAAGCAAGTTTTTCCGTTAGGTTTCTCAAAATGTACCATCATTTTCCGACAATTTCGACGACTCGGGCAAGATAAGTGCTATCCAAAGTGAGAAATATTTCGATTCTTTTGGTTTTTTTTTTTTTAAAGATACGAACATTCCTCTAAGCAATAAGGGTATCGGCAAGTGCTGCGAAAGGGCGGTAAAAGGATAATCCAAAGCGTCTAGTTTGAGAAGCTCTTACCAGACTATAAACATGTTATTTTACATTTTCCACCCTTTCGAGTCCAACCGACCGTATTGATCGAGTCAAAAGCGTGTATTTTATTTTTATTTTATTTTTAAGCCAGACCCAGCCCCAAGACAATGTTATCTCGTTCCCAACATAAAAGTATTTTTCAATTCGTTGTCGCAAACATTTTTAAATTGATGAAGAAAAATTTTTTCCTAAAACACTGAGATAGCACACTTTTTTGTCCGACTCGGTCGGTTTCGGAAACTCGCGATTAAACAAAAAAAAAATGTATACTTGATATCAATAGATTATATGTGTGCACATATTATATAGACACAAAATTCGTCCAGTATATTGGTAACGAGGAGTGTCGAGATAACAAGTTGCGATAATAAGATGATAAAATTTGTTTCAAACTCTAATTTCAACGCTAATGTCAAGTGTGTTTTATTACTGAAATACTTGCAATCGCCATGAGAAATTATAAGCTCTGGTACAACGAAACAAGGAGCTGACAGATGTATATTGTTGATATAAATCAAAAACTAAAAATGCACGACTGGCGCGAGAAGTCGCCAATATTAGGTAACACTCAGTTGAAATCTCAATGTAGCTTGGACATAAGTATCCCGGTTTTTTTTTTTTTTTTTCCTACACGAAAACTCACGTCACGACTCGTTATACCTTTGTGTTTTCACCTGTACACGCGCGGGGGAAAATCGGGTTTCACCTTCAGAAAGTTTTCGCGCGGCCGTTCCAACGTTTTGAGAAAATAGCCAACAGTCGTCGCTGTTGCTCTAATGAGAAGGAAAACACGTATATACGTGTGCGTTTTTTTCTCTTCCAACTTTCCCGAGAAAAGTCTTTATTTCGCATAATACCTTCGGTCCTACATGCCTTGGGAGTGGGGCCGCGTGTCGGTGCACACATACATTATGAATATATATATACGCTTTCGTGCGGATGCTGCGGAACTCAAGGAGACTCTCGATCGATCTTCGTTAGAGGACCTTCGCCTCAAGGATTTCGGACTTGACTGGAAAATTCTCTCGGTCGCGATATTTTAATTGGCTATGCACAATGATTTATACTCCTCGTTCTCCAACTCCATATATGGAATAAGTTTGAAAATGTTTATTATATTTGATGGCGATTATCTACTTTTACGTTTTTCAAATGTAGGTACATTAATATAAAAACGTAGGTGACTATGTGCGAGCGTTAATTACGAACAAAAAAAAAATATATATACATGCGTATACATCAGTATATCGGCGCGTTTACGAACAATGCGATAAAAGTGGTATATAGGTGCAAGACGTGACTAATGCCTTCTTCGAGCGGAAGTGAAAGGTAAGGTACTTCTCGTATAATAGCGTGTATATATAAATATTCGGGAGAAGTATAACGGCCCGCGTTAAAATAACTTATCACCGTGGCATTACCGCGATTCACATATATTTATATACACGAGCTGGAAAAAATATACATGTATATAATATGTGGGGCTGGAGAAATCTATCACGCTTTATTCATTCAAGATATTTTATCTAACATATATAATACGTATGTGTAAAATGCCGGGCGTTGTTTGTGAAATGATTTTCTCGAAAGGTCGTAAAACTTTCTAAGCCCCCTTCCCCCTCCCCCTCTCTTGGAAATTGTGTCCGCTGATGCTGCAGAAACGCATCAGGTGATCGTAAATCATCGTATTGGTGGCATTGAAAAATCCTCCGAGGCATTGCAAGGAAATGTTTAAAATATTGTTCATTTGCACCACCGGCAATGGCTCGTTTATTTCACATGTATATTCTTTCATTCGCGGCGTTTGTAGGGGACAAATAACGAAATGGGCATAATTCAGCGAAGCGCAGGTATACTGGTCGGTAAGGGGGGGGGGGCGATGACAAGTAAAGTTATATTCTCGCTCCAATTAAAAAGGCTTTCACTAGCGAGACTGTGGTGGTGTAAACATAATATATCTATATGTAAGAGAGTGCCGGAGGAGTCACATAATTAGGGTGATCACTTCTTCGGTCCAGAACTACGAGTACACGCATACCTGTACACATATATGCATAGGCGGCAGTGTATTCATGTGCCGTGGAAGTTTTGCCGTTCCGAGAAATCGAAGGAGAGTGAGCGAGCATACTGGTTTTGCATTACACAATTATAGATAATTTTTACGTCACGAGTCGCTGGACTCTGAGTATATAACGTGATGTATATCTATACGGGGCAACAACAACAACTGAGCTTTTTCACAAAGAGAGAGGCTCCAATTTTCAAGCCCATCATCATTTTTCATTTTTCGTCGCTGCTGTTGAACATTACAACTGCATTTTGCAACTCCCCGAGAGAGATGTCTTGATATTATATCCTTCTCTCGCCCTCCCATGCACGGAATGATGGTGTTATTGGCTGAAAAGCTCCATTATTCAGCATCAAACGCAGAATGGGAGAGATAATAATATATCCTCTTTGACGTTTCTTTCTTTTTTTTTTTTTTTCTGGCTTACCGATCATCTTCTCTTTCTCAGTACAGGTATATATAATATATACAAGGCGGAAATTAAAAGCAGGAACAAAAACACCAGCGCCTACAACGCTTCACTTGCATACAAGCAGCCTTACATATTATACACACTCCTCTTTTTTGCACACGTGATACGTACTTAACGATCATTCCCGGTAATGCGTATATTTTTTACGATCGACGCACACGTAAAGTATACACTTGGATTTCTTTTGCAGCGCCGACTTTTTTCTTTTTGCCGACGCGCGGCTTTTTTTTCGAGACCAATGCCATCAACAGCCCCGCAACTACAGCCAGACGCCAAATCAAAATCGATAAAATTTGCTTGGGTGTCCCCCGGCGGTGTATGGCAGCGAAAGCACCGCTGCAGTTTGCGTATAAATATGACTATATATATATATACGCGGAAACGTACTATCGTGCACATCGCATCACGGGCCGGCTAATGAAAGGGCCGAAGATCTACAACGCATGAAAAAAAAAATCACTGCTCGGCGTGCAATCGATAACTTTCACGTTATGTTGTGAAACTTCAACTTCAACTCTGCACGCATTCCTCCGCATCCCACTCCACCTTTTTTTCCGCGGGCAATGCGCGGACACGTAACGAGGAAAGGGACTCGTTACGGAGAAAGCGAAAAAAAAAGCAAGTGGAAGACAATGAGAGGAGTCCTCCCACGTGACTCTGCCTCGGCAAAAAAGTTCTCGAGAAAAGGAGAGTACTTGCAAGTATACCCGCGCAGAAAAAAAAAAAAAAAAAAAAAAAAAACAAGGGGAGCGGGAAAAATGCGCTGGAAAGCCATTACGCGCGTCCGCGTGCAGGTATCCTGCTTTCTTGCTGGGTTCATATTTTTTTTCTTTTCCATACACATATTAAGTACAGCGTCTTTGTTACGCGTTGTTGTTTTGGTGGATTGTTGCCGCCTTTTGAAATTCGGTAATAAGAGGACTCGCGGGTATAATTACAAGTAAGTATACACTCTCTCTTTGCGCTTTTACCAAGACTTATTTCGTCGTTTTGTAATCCAGTTACTCATGATTATACATATTATCAGATGGATGCACTCGAACCCGCGAATCGTTTCCCTCAAAAGTGTATATTTATGTATAAGAGCATATTACTTAAAATTATAATAATACGAGGGTCGTTTTTTATGAAAATCAACGAAATACGTATATGATACAACAATTGGCACTACAAATATTTAGCGCGACCTTTCGCCTTTTACGCATAATATATACATCGTTGAAGAAACTTTGATGAATTATTAACAACGTGACGTTAGATTTTATACGGCTATAGAAAAGGTTGAAGTAAAGGTTGATTTAAATTTCAAATGTTTCATTATTTAAACAGTGAGTATAATATGTATTGTCTACATGTTATAAATGTATGTGCCGCGGTGTGGTGCACGACCCGCAGAGCTTTTCAAGGTCTGGGTTAGCGGCGAGCTTTTCGTATAACAACGCGTGTCGAATATTTAAAAGGCGCTGGAGAGGATAGCCGAAATCGAAAAAGCCACAGTTAAATTGTTCAACAGAACGAGTCAATTAAGAATGTCCCATCGAGCCATGCTGGCTATGCTACAGGGACGAGGGCTAATACTCTGGCGCGTGCGTTATTGGGATCCGAGGGCTTAAGTACATTGTCCCCTTCCCAGCATTCAGCTGCTGTATAAGCAACCTTGGAAAGATGAGTTCCGAAATACATAGGTATAGGTAAGTACACATGAATCAATTGATCGCGATTCATTCGCGAATAAAGGAAGAAGAATCAGGCAATTTGCAGATAAAGAAAACTCCCTCCCCCGTAACAAAGAGCAAATTAAACGATGCTGCCTCTGTACTTAAATGACCGAAAATAACTCCTCTGGGTGTACTTGTAGGTAGGTAGCAAGTACGTGTACCGTATCTCATACTTAGAGCGACCGAATCGTAAAATAGAAATAGTCAGGTACATACACACGATGCAGGTAAGTATATCTGTAGACATCACGCAAGTACACAACATATACAGTATACAATATGTATACGTATATACTCACCGCACTGCGACGCGCACGCTGGAATCGTCGGCCATCTCCGTCTCTCTCTCGCCTGCAGCAGCAGCTCTCTCCCGTACTTGGCAGCTGATTTCTACTCCGTTCCGAGCGAACAAAGTTCTCCTCTCCGCGGCCGTGCTCCGAAAATTACTTACAACGGCAGTAGAAACAATAAATTAAATTAAATTAAAAAAAAAAAAAAAAAAAAACTACCGCGTTGGCCCGTGTTTTGTATTTTTTACGTGCTCGGACGTGGGTGCATTATTATTATTATCTATCCGAGTGGATTATATACACGATTGCTCCCACCGGTCCTCCAACCGCAGAGTAGCTAATTGATCGTTTACTCCTGGTGCATCGTATAGTGTGATATATATAATAGGCGAGAAAAGGAGGACAGATCATCAGCTCTCGTTCCTCGCGATTTGAGCATCTCCTCGGCCCCGATGCCGCGCTTGTAAACTATCACCACTTGACAGCAGCAGCAGCACCATATTATCCGTTAGCTAGCGCTTGTTCCGAACGCTAGTAGTCTGTAATGTGACTTAATGTTTATAACATTCACTCGCGATCGCAGCAACGATTGCCGCAGCGACAACACCCACCGTTCGCATGAGCTCTGGAGCTTCGACTGAATTATACAGTTTTCTATTGCTCCCTTCTATATACATTCTACAATACTCGCCGCCGACGCCGTTATCCCCTACTCTCTCTTTTGCTTTGCTTATACTATACCACCACCCACCACCTCCGTTTTCCTGCGGAACGGCAGCGCACGCGGCGGAGACATGGCAGACATGTTTCGGGACCTTTTTTTGTGCTGCTTATTCCGTTTTTTACGGAGGCTTCGTATGTGTTCGTATACATATATAGTCGCGTTGCAACGGACGGGAGGGAGAAACTTTTAGCGGGCGGCATCTCGCTTTGTTTATTGTTGTCTGTTAGCTCCATTGTTGGGGTAACAGACAGCGCCGCGCCTGCTCCGCTCGATCGATATATATTTTCGGAGCAACTGTGGAGTTGTAATTTGTTTCTTTATCAAAAGTACTTATATTTACTTATGGTTCCAATTTTGAATGTAAAATTAATTTTTTCGATAAAAATTTTCGTCCGTGAAAGATTTTTTTTTAACGTCTTTTAATTTAAATTTTTCAATTATAAGTGCACTAATTTTATCTGCAACTTTCAAATTAATCGCTCGCGGGATTTTCGATTATTAATTTGATGCAAGAGAGGGTGCGGCGAATGAAAAAAAAAAAAAAAACATGTATATCGGTACTCAATAATAAATAAATGCAAAATTTATTTGCCTTAGATAGATAATTAACAAATTTATTACTAGTTATAAATCGTCAATTTAGTACGAAATCGTTACACTCGATGGAATTTCACATGAAAATGAGAAAATAAAATCAAGTTTTTACAAATACAAGTGCATCATGTTAAAACTAATTACATCCATGGTTTGTCTCAATTTATCGTCTTGCTGCATATTGTCAAACCATCTCGATAAGTGCACATATTCTGCTTTTTCTTGCAAGCTCAGTCTTTGCTGAAATACATACATAGCAAAACAATAAATCGTTTAAGGTTGTTTTATAAAATTTTAATACAAACTGCTTATTGTATGCATGTCTTACCATAATTCCATGTAAAGCGTAGTACAGAGTAACATCTGCAATAGTTTTTTTCGTCCCTGCCACGTAAGTGCTGAATTTTAATACATAATTCAATTCCTAAAAGAAGCATTGGAATATTTTATTTGCAAGCCCACCAATAAGAAACAAGTAGGTACATAATATAGGATTGGAAAAAAAAAACTACCTTCAGGACTCTTTTTTCGTTGTTTGAGTTGTCTGCATAATTGACACAGAGCACGGCGTACTCTAGCATTTGTCTAGTCAACGCTTGTGTTATAGCATCGTCACCCAGTATGGCCGGATATTTAGAATTTTTAACAAGGGTTTGAACAATTGTACTAAATCCTTCGGTGCTTTGATTTTTTATCAAATCATCTGTGGCCACAGTCTAAAATTATGAAAACCACCGATGTTTTAAGTCTTTGAAAAAATTAATATTTGTAGGAAAAAAAAAAATTGTCGCAAATTGAAATTTTTTTCAAATAAGACGTACAGTAAGACTGTTTGGGTGTTAACTATTTCAACGATCACTGTCATTGCTATACGTTATTGTAGAGGTACCAACTTTTCCTTTTAAACACGTTGGTTAGATAAAATTTTACACGCGAGTACTACAAAAATAGTAAACGTGCTCTCGAAAATTGGGAAAGCTTCTCGCCACGGATTCAATATATAACCAAGTGTGAAGAACAAGCCCAAAAAAATGCAACTTTTTGTATTCTATTTTTTTCCAAACTTTCTTTTAGATGCTAAGAAATATTCAAGTTGCAGCAAGAATTCCTTCTTTAAAATAATAAAAAAAAAAAAAACACAAAAAAAAAAATGAGTCTCGTCAGACAGACATCCACCCTACTCGAACATAGCTTGGCTTTAAAAAGACCGTTCCCCATATACACGCCAAGAGAAATGAAAAGTGCAAGCGCCAAGGACACTGGACTTACGTTGTTCTCGGAGACGTAGAGTTTCCCCGGAGAGATGTCCAGGTACTCGCTTATTCTATTCACGCATTCGATGTTGCAGAGGACCATCTTGGGCTCGTAAAGACAACCGAAAAATATAAGTAATTTTTAGTACAAACGGAAAAACGAGACTCCAACAAACGTCGTCGGGCAAGCCACAACTAATTCTTGTACGCTCTGACAAGAAAAGGTTAATGGTGGTCGATGCGGCGAGGGCGACTATATACTTACCTCCTCTCCTTCGCTGATTGGCTGTGCTCCGATACTGCTTGCGATTGAAAACATGAAAATAATAATAAACAGCTGGTTTTTTTTGAGTTAACCGTCTGCTAAGCAGTGTTGCGTGCAGTCTGTTACAACTACCGAAGTAAACATCGCATCGGTTGCTTTTGAAAAAAATTGTATAATTGATACATTAAAATAATTTATGAAAAGCGCTTTAACAAATTTGTTGCGAAATAATTTTTTGTTAGTACTATTGTCTGCCAGTACATATTTATTCAACGTTAATTGGTTTGATTGTGAATAAAAGTAAATAATCTGACATGAGATTAAATTTTTACAATGTTTGATAATTTATAAAAATCAACATTTCGAATCGAGCGCGAAAACCATAAGGATATTTTTCAAAAAATTAAAAAATTATTTCCCCTAATGTATCTTTATTTATTTGAATAGTATATTCCAATTATCTAACGGTACTAAAGACAAAAAGTTCATATTTTTATAGTGGAAATTTATATGTAGGTTAAGCGCATTGAAAACTCTTTTTAAAAACTTGAATAGTAAAATTATTGTTATATTGGCTCGCGACGCGTGTAAAAAATGTTTAAAACTTGGAGAAGACTAGTTCATTCGAGTGCAAGGGCTTGCAACAAATTCGAGTGGATACAGCCAAGTGGATCTGACTCTGGGATCGTTGTTTATAATCCGGTGGCTAGAAAAAAGACTCCATTGATCTTAAGAAACAACAATATTGTCACATGGTACATGTGTGGGCCGACAGTCTATGATTCAGCTCATATTGGACATGCTTGGTAATTTCACTTTTATGAGTAAAATAATTTTTGTTAATTTTTCAGAGATCCCATTGCTTATGCTTAATTTTTTTAGTACATATGTTAGATTTGACACTATCCGCAGAATTCTAACGGAATTTTTTGATATGAATGTTGTACTTGTCATGGGAATGACGGACATTGATGACAAAATTATAATGCGCTCCAATGAAACTGGCATGGACTGGATGAAGCTTACTCATAATTATGAAAAAGAATTTTTCTCTGATATGGATTCTCTTAATGTCCTAAGGCCATACAAGACTTGTAGAGTTACAGATTATATACCAGACATCATTGCTTTTGTAAAAAAAATTGTGGACAAAAATGGAGCATATGTTGGCAAAGATGGTAAGTTATTGTTGAAATACGTCAAATCTAAGTCATTCAAACTTTTGGTGATTTTTTAGGATCTGTATATTTTAATACATCGAATTATAAAAACTATGGAAAATTAGATTTGCCATTAACGGAAGATGATGCAGAGAAAAATCCACACAAAAAATCTTCTCTGGATTTTGCATTATGGAAGGCAGCAAAGCCACAAGAACCATATTGGGAAAGTCCTTGGGGTATTGGCAGACCAGGTTGGCATATTGAATGCAGTGCAATGGCTAGGTAAAAAAAATATTTTAATTGCATTGAAATCGGATAATAATAGTAATTTATAAAATGCCATTTAATTATCAGTGCGGTGCTTGGAAACAATATTGATATTCACACTGGAGGTATAGACTTGGCTTTCCCACATCATGAAAATGAGGAAGCTCAATCTTGTTGTCATCATGATACACATCAATGGGTCAATTATTGGATGCATACAGGACATTTACATAAGTCAAAAGACAAGAAAATGTCAAAAAGTTTGAAAAATACGATGAACATACCTGATTTATTTAAAGATCTTACACCTAATCAGTTCAGGATGCTTTGCCTTTTGAGTTATTACAGAAATAGTAACGTATAGCCCAGTATTTTATTTATGAGAATGATATGCATTTTTTAAACTATTTAATACGTTTTTAGATATTGAGTACTCTGATATTATTATTCAAAATGCAGTGAATGCATTGAAAAAAATTGAATTCTTTTTAAGTGATTGTGATGCTTATGTTTCTGGAAAATATCAGGATGGAAATGTAGATGGACCTAAACTTTTAAAAGTGAGTTTTTAAAATTTATTATGAATAATTATTTCCAATTAAAGATATTTTATGACATATGATTTTCAGACTTTGGAAAAAACTAGGAATGAAGTGATCGAATCTCTTAAAAATGATTTCCATACTCCAAAAGCTGTTCACGCTATTTTAAGTTTGATTTCTGTTGGACATGAGATGCTCCATCAAAAACAGGTAATTTTATAATTTTTCAAGTGATAATGTTCAATTTAAAATTTATTAAATTTATGTTTAATTTATAGACAGAAACTGTCGCAAGAGATTCCGCAAGTGTTGCGGCTGTATCGAGTTATTTACAAAGATTAATTTCCAAACTGGGTATAACTCAATCAACAGCTTTAAAACAAAGCTGTGATCTATCTAACGTACTAGATATTTTTATTGATTTCCGAAATGACATTCGAAATAAGGCTATTGAGAAAGACGTTAAAGATGTGGAATCTTTGAAAGCTTGCGACAATGTCAGAAAAAGACTGTCTGACTGTGGAGTTGACTTAAGAGTAATAAAAGTTTGATTTTTTTTTTTTGTAAAATTTTGATATAGAATACAGTAATAAAAAAAGATTTTTTTCAGGATCAGAAAGGAAAATCTCTATGGACAATAAGACAGTAGCTTGGAAGAAAGAGTTTTTGTAATTTATGTAAATAAAGTTTATTACCTACTATACAAAAATGTAAATTGAACTTATTCAGCCTCGGCATTAACAACCTTTAATTTTTTAGCTGATTCTTCATCAACAATTAAACTTTTTCTTTTTTTTTCTGCTTTAACTTCTGTGGGAGTTTTGCGCAAGCCTTTCATTTTTCTTGTCTGTATTTTATGCAGTTTCTGTGAACCCATATGTATTCTTCCAAGGGTTTTTCCTAATCCATCTTCGCTTATGTTCTTCTTCTTCTTTACCTATAAAAAAATATAGAGTTATGGATACAAAATTTTATCATTGCAAGAAATAATATCAAAATTGAGAGTCTTACCTTGAGTTCTTTAGGTCTTTTGCAAGCCTGTTTGAATAGATCGTCTGTCGCAAGTTTTGTTCTTCTCACTCTCAGATCCATGCGTGGTCCTATTTCTACTAATTCAATTTTTGGTATTCTGGTTCCAGATTTTTTCAATTGAACCCTTAAGACATGTTGATAGTTGATAGGTGTGTGATTGGTTTTATGAAATAAAATTTAAGTAAAAAAAATATACCTGTAACTCCTAAAGAGTATGCAGTTGTCATGGGCTGTGAAACTCAAGACATGCTCCAATCCTTGTAATCTGATTTGACCAACTGTTTCTCTTTGGAACATGTCAACCAACAAGTTACGAATCCTTCCATACTCGTGGTTATTTTCAAACAACTCCCCTTGAAATACTAAAATAGGTTTTATTCCTTCACAAATTTTTTCTGTCTTGAAAGTTTCCAAAGCTGTGTAATTTTCCACCCCGAATTCTACCATGTCCATCAAAGTATGTTCAAAGAGTCTTCCAAGTACGAGATTGTGGGGTCTTTTTTTATTACTGGAAACGAACATAAACAGAGCCGCATTGTATTTCTTGCTAAATTTTTCAATCAATGTGGCATCTTCGAAAGGATGAATTTCATTTCTCTTTTGCATCATTTGGCCACCTGGTTTTTTTAATTGATACTGTAAACATATCGTAATAAAAGCATAACAGTTTGATATTTCGTAAAACACCATAATTTTGTTAAAAAATGTTTGCTACTTACCAAATCTTTCATGCAACTCTGTCCAATTGGGGAAGTTTTGGAACCCTTAATATAGATCGTTTGCTTGGGATCTTCAATTATTTTGGGCTCTTTTTTCTCAAGTGCCCTTTTAGCCCTGTGAGTTTTGGGCTTACTAAAATTATATCAAAAGAACACATGTTACACAATTTATTATTTGCAACGGAATTAGAGGTTAAAGATTTCTTAAAACCTTTGGTTGTATACTTACACTACTCTTTCGATAACACCCATGTTGGAACGTTCTTTTCACAGCAGTTAATAATAACGCTGTGTCTATTCGCACCAAATCCACGTAATTACGTGGATATAAGGTTAGGAATTTTAAAGAAAAACGCTACTTTTTCAAATGAAGTGTGTCCACGTAAAGTGAAGTTCGCAGATTGCGTGCCTATAAGAGAACATGTGTGTGTATGAAAGCACAATTTTTATTTTTACTTGTCTGATAGTCTGATACATAAATAAATATGTATATATCTGTGGCGTCTCACATCTCTCGCGCTTCAGGCTCTACTCGCTAGGTGGCCAAGCTCCTAATAGTTCGCTCCCGTCAAGCGGCGAAATCCTGCACGATTTATATATAAGCGCGATCGAGATGGTCTAATCAATAAAATTTAAACTGAAATAAAATTACATTTTAAATTAATATTTAAATTTCTTTAAAATTAAATTTTTAAATTTCTTTTGAATTAATTTTTTAAATTTCTTTAAAATTCCAATAACCCAATAACCCAATAACCCATCAGCACCACCACCCACCACCTCC